AAAAGAGAATCAAAGATGCACACAACGATGGTTCCTGGAAAGTGCGCACGATTGGGTGAAGTTTGTGCACGTCGTTGTCCTTGGATTTGCATTATGCATTACCATATCAACCCTGTTTGTCACATGGCCCTGGGGCAAATTTTGTCAAGCCACTCAAGCCCATAGACTTACAGATATGTCAATTAATAGGGTCTGATCCTAGACGTCATCATGGTAGATTCGACCTGTTTACAACTTTATACTGAGTTTATAGTTAGGCTAAGTTAGCTACAGTAACTTCGAAAAACATGATCTGGCTGGTACGCTTCCAGTTCACAAGAGGGCATTCAACATAAGTTTCTCCTGGATTACGATCTAGGGGTGCACGGACCGAATGTCGAAGTGTCTTTTTCAGAGCAAGAACATCAGAGATACATATACGGTTACTATATGCCCAATGGAGTAGATTCAGAGCAAGAACATAAGAGATACATACCCCCAATGGAGTATATTCAGAGCGAAAACAGTGAGGACAAGAATTGGACGTCGGTGAGGACGGTGAGGACAACAGTGAGGACAACAGTGAGAACAACAGTGAGGAAAGTAAGGACAACAGTGAGGACAACAGGATCATAGCAACGGTGAGGACCAGCATTGCTGATACCACCCTCGATGAGAAGGTTGCTCCAGATCTGAGTCGTGAAAAAAAGATGCGACTGCCAACTGTTGTGCTGTGGGCTAGTGATCTTTGCTCCGCTGTTTGTGCAAACTTCTTCTTTTTTTTCTTTTTTCTTTTTTCTTTGAGTGGTCACATAGCGCACCCTCACAATAGGATCTCTGCACTGAACCCACTCACCGATCGGATAAATCCACAAAGTATACCTCCAGGATATTGCGGAATTTCTTTTTGTGATTTAGAACTTACTGTGTAACACCGAGGAACTCAACCTTGTGCGTAAGAGGTACAGTAAAAGGGGAGCTGCAAGAACAATGAAAGGGGTACCCCAAGGACGACCTAAAAACTGTCTGATTATAAAATTGCTTTAATATGTTGGACATCTCAAATGCTCTTGTTGTCTGCAATAGGACAAAGACTGCTTTGATTCTGAATCTATTCACCTGGGTGGAATTGGGACTGTTGTGGGGAAAATCTAAAACACACAGACACTATGCCATATTGCCAATCTGTACCCCTACGACCTCTCTTGTTCAGTTACCCCTGGTATGTTTCAAGGTTCACCACACTTGCAAGGAAGTGCAGAAGTGGTGGTAACTCACCGAATTTAACCGAATTTAACCGAAGTTAAACGAAGTTAAACGAAGTTAACCTTGAAATTGCAGGAAGGAGGCACTGTTGGAGTCCCTTAAGAGAAACTCTGCCAAGAGGGTCCAGCTGTGGGAAGAAGAGAGGCAGCATAGAGCTGCAATCAAAATCCAGGCAAGTGCCGCGCTTTGGCTGGCTGGTTGCTCTGGAGCCCTAAGGCCCTGATTAGAAAAAGAAAGAAAGGGGAAGAAAAAATGTTCCTCTGGGACATCCCGTTGTCAGGCACCACTCCATCTTGGCTTTGCAGTGGCAGTGGCTGTGGAAGGGGGCAGTGGCGATTTATTTATTGATAAACGGAATGACACTGACGTTTCGTCAAGCTATTCTATTCAGAAAATTTCAGAGTTCATATTCTTAGTTTACTCAAAAAAAGCGCAATGAATTTCAGAAGCATCACACCAGCCTTCAAATTTTGGAGAGCCTGCCAAAACTTGCAGAGCTAATTCCAGTTTGGCGGACTAATCCCTTTCTCTGAGTGAATCGAAAGCAAACATTAACTTGAAGGTGGGGGTCTTTGGAAATAAACATGAGAGATTCTGGGAATCTGGGAACTTAAGCTACCAGTACACCCGTGTGTGGAGGCGCTCCACTGCGCACAAACCTTTTACAAAGCACCAGTGCCGCGCTTCTTTTCTTTTTTGCTTGGCGCTGCCCGAGCGGCCGAGCCACAAATTTCTGCAAAGCTGGGGCCATGTACTCGTGGTTTAAATCGAAGAAGCATAGCACACCAAATATTTGTTTTGAAAATTTTCGAACTGTTAAACCATCACTACCTCTCCCAGGCAATGTCAAGAATCCAAACTGTGACAATTTGGGTGCTTTGGATGTGGTATGATCCTGGGAATCTCACAGTGCGAAACTCGAAAAGGGACAATGCCGTGCGATTGCAACTGAAATGAAAGAGGTCGGAAAGGGGAATAGACAAGGGAAGAAGAAGAACAGAGAAAGGAAGAAGAAGAAGAAGAAGATGAACACAAGCTGGAACAAATGTCACTCTTCCTTGTACTCGTCACCATCTCTCTCTCGCATCATCTCCCCCAACAACTTATATATTATATTATAATAATAACAATAACAATGAATGGATGAATGGATGAACCAGAATCAATTTCCGAATCTCCCCCTTACTGCCGGCAACACAAGAAGTCACATTTGACCTCCTACACCTCCTACTACTACTTGGTTGAGCATCCAGCTATGGGCGCACCATCCAGCCATTGTGCAGATATTGAAAGGACAACGAAAAGCTCTCTTAGCTCTGCCACTACTGCCGCCAAATGTACATCACCCTTCCAGAGTCCTCCTCACTTTGTTACCCCAACCAGGGACTGCCAGGTGCAGCCCCGACCAAGGAGATGAGGATGTAGTCCACCATAACCAAGGTAAGCTTCCTCCTTTTTCTTCTTTGTCCTTCCTTCTCCTTCGTCAGTCCTCCGCCACAGCCATGTCTTCCACCTCCCTCACCGTGGCCCATTCCATCATAGTCAGGGAGGGATCCAGCTCTACCTCCAGCCGCTGCCCAGTGCCACACCAGGCTGGGTCAACAGTCAAGCAGCCTCACGGCTTGCTTGCCCGAAGAATGAGGCGGAGTCCGCTGCTGCCCCTCTTGATATACAGGCCACTGGACTCCTCCATGGTGACTCTCCAGCTATCCATCCTCTTGGCCTACCAGTTCCCCTGCCTATTTTGGCGGGAACATCATTGCAGTCTGATATCTCCCCCCTTGAAGGCTCTAGACTTAGGCCCTACCAGCCTGGTACCTACCTCTAAAACTGCCATTTTGTTAAAACGGACATTTTAATGATTTATGTTTTTTGAAAGAAATTGAAACCTACTTATTTGGCCCTAGAAATGTCTTTAGTTTTAGCTCCTGAGGGTCCATATGGACTTAGCTGAAGTTTAGATACGTCCGAGGGGTCTGGTGTTTTCAGATGGTGACATTGTTAGGGCCAAACAAGTAGGTTTCAATTTCATCAAAAAAAAAAAAAAAGTCCATTTAACGAAATGGCTGCTTAAGCCTACCAGACCTCTCAAACACTAGCTCGGCCTACCCAAGGGTACCACCTTTTTGTCCTTTTCTGCTCTCTACCCGCTGCTACTTGATTTTTGGCCTCTGCAGGCCTTCTTTCCTCTACCCTACCTGCTGCACCCCGAAACACACACAGCCACAGGGTTAGTACCAGGCCCGCAGGCCATTCCAGCACACAGACCATCATCAGCGGGTCGAAATCAGTGTCAGACACACACACGAGCTCTCAGACAGGGCTAAGCACAGGGGACACAGAACGGCGGCAAAAACTCAGAAAAACACACGTGTCACAGTCTGCAATTTTGCAGATAACTACAGATGAACAGTGCTACCAGAACACAGGTGGTGCCAGGCAAAAGGGAAAAAAAAAAAAAAAAGCGTCGCCCTGGGACTTCGGCGAAGCGTGGAGTGCAGTTCTTCTCTGCCTCGGGAAACAGGCTCGGAGGAAATGCTTGTTTAACAGGGACAGTTGCAGGTAATGAGTGAGTGAGAACAAGTCTGAATAACTATATAGGTGCAACGACGAGTAAGGGCGGTTCAGTGAAAAACAAGTTTCGAATGAGCAAAAAAAAAACGCACCAGGCAATAAAAGCGGCACAGCACTTTGCATAACTCCCAGGGTCGGGACATGGTGTGCAGAGGGCCTTTTCTTTGGGGGGGGAGGGGGGGGAGGGGGGGGGGACAAGTACGTGTATGTCAGAACAGAGTTCCAAATGGGCAAAAAAAACACGCATGTGTCGCGTGGGCAAATAAAACATCCGCCGTGTTAAAAAAGGCAATTGAAGTACCACGGCCGTGTTGTCAGGCCGGCTGTCATAACTACAGGGGTCGGCGGTGGTGTCAGACGTGGAAAAAAAAAGAAGGAAAAAAAAAAGGGGGCCAATGGATCTATTTCGCCTGTCCATGGCCAGCAGCTGTTTGTTTCGTCCTCGCGTGTATTTTTTGCCCATTCAAGTTTGAAACCTGATGCATCCGCACTTGTTGGGCAGGGACAATTAGTGGGGTGATATGAGCATCCCCAGTAAGTTGGACCCTGCAGTGAGGCTCCATCTATTGGTGGGGAGCTGCACCTGCTGGAACCAGGTCCTGTGTCCCTTCTTCATACATGAAAACATAATGCCACCCCTGCTGGAAATCGGGTCCAGTGTCCCTTCATGATACAGCTGGCTTAAACCACCAGTACCTCGCTCAGTGTTTGGGCGCGGGCCTTCCCATATACGCGCCGCAGCCTCAGGCTGGTCGGCCAAGGGAAGGCCCGGTCGTAGCGCCAAGGCCGGGCCCCGCTTCTGTAGGGATGACACACGATCAAAAAGAAAGAAGAAAAAAAAAATGAAATACACAAACAAAAAAAAAACAAACGGGAAAACAGTTGAAGTCGTGAGAGAGAGAGAGAGAGAGGGGCGGTCGCC